AGCAAGTTAAACTCTATGTACAACAGACAGACTATACAGTTGGGATCATTTAAAAATAATGAGGCTCCCCTCTTTGCCTTCTTCCAAAGTATATAATATATATTTAACAGCACATAAGAAGACACCACTTGAGCTTCCCTCGTAGCCAAAACGAAATATTTTCACATATAAAAATTAAAAATTTAAACTTTTAAATCATTAATATTTTTTAAACGTAATACAGACTTAAAAATTGTTCAACATTAACCCATGACCCCACCCCTAGCACAAAAATCCACCCCAAATCCCAAAGTCACAGTTTTTTGTTCCTAAAAATCCCACAGCACTGAACATGATCTTCACTTCAAGCTGATTGCTAACAAGGCCCCCTAACAGAAATCCCCAGGGAGGAACGAAGGGCGATCGACGCTGCGGCTCTTATCTACCTGGGCGGCACGGGTGCACCTCTGAGGTCAGGTCCATGAGATTCGGCCCCCACACTAGGATCCTGGAAGGGTGAGCTGGCAGCTTCCCTCATCTTCCCCCTCGAAGGCTGTCCAATAAGCACCTGGGAATTGACTTTTCTTGGGAAAAGGGTGCTGGTAACAGCTGTCAGGGCCAAGGCAATAGTGAGAAGTTCAGTTCTCTGCTCTTTGGATGAACTGTGTAAAACATTTCTTTTAAAAGACACAATGTTAAAAATATTAAGAAAAATGTCTACAAAATCTGGAGGGCTACCTTTCCCTCAAAGGGTGAAGCTTGTGGGGTGGTGGGAAAAGAAATGAGGGCCCAGAACTATAACTCTGCAGCAAAAGATTAGACAGATGCCCTTCAAAACATGTCACGTTCTTAAGATGTCTTGCTCAAGTAGCAAGAGCGGAGGGTAACTGTGTGAGCCGGAACGGGAGGGGCACCAACTCCCGCGTGGGGGCTTCCTACTGTGCACCCCACCCTGCAAAAGAATGTCAGGCTTCAGGGCAGCTGCCTTGGGCCCCAAGGGCATCAGGACTCTGCCTCTGAACCAGAGCTGCTTTCCCGACTAACTTCAATCTGGAGAGATGGTAAGTTATCTAACCGGCTCTTCTTTTGGCGAGACTGTTCTTTCTCCTTAATCAGAGCCCCCCATGCCCTCTGCAGCTCGGAGTCATCTTCCTCTGTGCCGGGCGCCCTGTGATCCACTTTCTTCGTGTTCTTTTCTTTGGTCTTGGGTGCAGATCCTAAGCGAGTCCATAAACTACCTGTTTGGGTGAGAAGGCATTTCAGCTCTGGCAGTCAATGCTGAGAAACAGGGGCACTGGCAACACCTGATGTGCAGGAAGCACGGGACGGGGGGTGGGGGTGGAGCCAGCGGGGCGGCTGGGGGGTTGTCCGTGGCACCTGCAACCATGGTGCAGCCTTGGGCAGATCCTCTCCTTTCCCTGGCTGCAGTCCCCTGCCTGCAGACTGAGAGAACTGGATCCAACGGGAGATTCTCTCAGCTCGGGGATATGTGCCCCCGACCCCACCCTACCCCATGCTAGGCACATCAGAATCACCTGGGAGGCTGCTTATACTACACCTGCCCCTGCCTGGTGAGACTCACCATCCCGTCCGTGGACGACAACATTCTGCCAGGACTGGGCCATTCCCAGATCTTCCCAGCTACAACATTCTGCAAACTGATGGGCCTGCTACACTGTCAACTTTCAGATTCTGCCCACTCTCCACTAATTTTTCAAATATTAATACTTAACAATAGAGAAATACACAGAATTTCATAAGATAGACACTCTGTAAGGCAATTAAAAGTTTTATTTATAAGGGCTTCCCTGGTGGCGCAGTGGTTGAGAGTCCGCCTGCCGATGCAGGGGACACGGGTTCGTGCCCCGGTCCGGGAAGATCCCACATGCCGCGGAGCGGCTGGGCCTGTGAGCCATGGCCGCTGAGCCTGCGTGTCCGGAGCCTGTGCTCCGCAACGGGAGAGGCCACAACAGTGAGAGGCCCGCGTACCGCAAAAAAAAATAAAAAGTTTTATTTATAAAAGCTATAACAATGTGGAAAAATGACTATGATAAGATGATATATGAAAATAATAGTATATGTATATAGGCAAAGACTGGAATAGCATGAGACTAAAAAGTATTTGCGTTAAACAGAAAGAATCAGGGGTGGGTTTTTTTTCCCATTTTCTAAATTTTCCACACTGTTACCATTATGATGATGATGATGACGATGATGACGATGACTATAATAAAAGAGGAAAAATAATTTATTTTTGTCATATGCTATTTCCTGCCTTCTGCTAACAAAGTATTTCTGTGCTACACCCATTGTCTCTGCGCTTACTCAATTCCCCTCCCCATCAGTTTTCAGTGTTACCAACCTGATTTCTTCTCCCGAGTATCAGAGTAGAGGCCTTTAACATCTTGCCTGGGAACACCTAGCCTACTATGTACATCAGAAAAGGGCTCTCTCCGAACGACTGGGTTACTACTAAAAGCCTTTTCCGGAGAATGTGGTCTTTTTCCTAATCGTTGGCGTATATCTAGAAAAAGAAAAAAAGTACTACCGTGACCACGTGCATATGCTTTGCTATCTGTACTGTCAACCTGAGATCTCTGCAGGACCTGGTACCAAATCTCTCCGAGATTTAGACATGCGCCTGACACTGGGCCCAGCACAACCAGGCTTTTAAGAGCCTTCCCTCTACAGAGTCTGAATTCTTTGGGAAAATTCAAATGAGAATCCCCAGGGGCTCGCAGGGGGAAAAAAACCTTAGCTGACTGCTCCAGAAAGGAACTTCTCAGGCAGAATTGTCTGCTTTGTGTTCTCTGTAGTAGAATCAAACAGAGCAAATAATTTACGAACATTTCGGCTGACAAGAAATACTGCAAGCTCCCTGAGAACAGAAGCCGCAATCTCTGAACATATAAGAAGTTCTCAATAAACGATTACATTGAACAACAGTTGTAATGAGACTGACAAAAAGCAAAGGATCAAGGGAAGATGTCCCAAATCAAATTTGTTTTTCCTCCAAGCCCCGGCCCCCCCCGAAATCTGCCTGTCCTCCTGAGCTCCCTCTCACAATAACAGCAACCACAAAAACACATTTACTAGCAAGTCCCTGTGCTGGGCTTTCACCCACCTTGCCTATGCTCTCTGAGGACAGCACCCCCATCTTTCAGCCCCTCAGGCCTGGGCCCCTTGGCTTCTCTCCCTTTCCTCCCGCACTTCCCAGCGCTGAATTTTCTTCCTCTCCAAGGCTGACACTGTCATCAGTTCTGCCTCCACTGTCCCTGATCTAGTTCAGGCCCTTGTTACTTACTTGACTCTCTATCACACCCTACGCCGCCACCAAGTTACCTTTCTAAAATAGATATAAGATCACGTTACTTCCCATCTCAAAAAAATGAGGTTTGCCAACTGAGATCCTATTTCCTCTCCGAGGCCTCACTCCACAGCCACATGCTCTGAGAAGCATCCCACGACAGATCTTCCCCCAACAGATTCACCTCCCTTCTCTGCTCCCACAGCCCACTGCTTACAGTGCCCTATCACAGCACTTACTCCATTCTGCTTCAGGTGGAATTACCTGAATGTGTGCCCTTATGTTTTTCCATCTGACTTCTATGATTACTTTGCATCCCCTGCAAAGACTTCTAACACTCCCAGCACCTAGCCCTGGCACCTAGCAGGCATAGCCAAGTACCCACTATATGCGTGTTTGCACATATAAACTAACCAGTTCAAACTCTTAACCATTTATACAACAACCCGACTTAATTTCTATTATTCTTATGTATAAAGTATACCAATGACATACAGAGTAAAATAATTGTTTGGGACAAAAATATTGCAAACGAGTATTGCAAAAGTCTGATTAAATTTCATGTCCTAAAGTTCCAACGCCTAACCCAAATTTAGAAGTGATGAATCAGGACTACTAAATTGGTCCGTAAATGACAGCATTTTATCCAAGAACCTATCCCTGTCTGCATTTGCTTTCTGGAACTCAGAATGAAGCCCAGATACACAACTCAACAATACCTGTTTTAGTACTGCTGCCAGGTGGCCGTGGACGTGTGTGTTGACGTTTTTCATCTAACAAATGTCGGACATCTGCAAATTTCTCAGGTGTTAATTTGTTACCAATTCGGTTTTTTATATTGCTTGTAGATAGAGTATCTGCCTTCATGGAGTTCCTTTAAAAAGGCGGGTGGGGGAACAGTAAACCAACTTGAACTGTGGGATAACACTCATACAACAATCTCATACTCTCTGGAAAAACAATTTAAGAAACCCAATCTAACATGGCCAACATTCACTTACAACACCATAAACCAGTAATTATTTGCTTACAAAAGCCAGGACCAGCCTGCTGGAAAGAGGCTGCTTGAGGTTGAGCAGGTCCCTGAGTCTTCCGGGGTGGTTTCTACACACAGCATCTGCGAGCTATCGCAGAGCACGTACCTGCGAGCCCCCTCCTCCTGGGACAAACGCTACATAGAGGCCTGCAGAGGGCTGGAGGCCTCTGCTCACACAGGCTGTGATGTGGCTGTAGTCTAGACACAATAGAGTCTACAACCCCTTTCGTTAAAGGACAGACGTCTCTGCCAAAGACCTCTCCCACGTCAGGGGACAAGTTCCATTATTCTGGAACCATTTGCCACTGGAAAGTTCTCTGAAAACTAAAAATAAGTATGTGAACAAGGCCATACAAACCAACCAGCTTAAAAGTTTTTTCTTCCCTTTTCCCAGACACACCATCAAGAACTCTTAGAGAGCACCCCAGCCTCGAGCCCTCGCTGAGCCATGCATATGCGATCTGCCCTCAGGAGTCTGCTCAGCTCCACTGGTCATCAAAGAACGCATATTAAAATAACTGTATTTTTTCGTCCATGAATAGCAAAAATCAGAGTGATAATACCTAAGGTTGGTGAATTATGTAGGCAACAGGTGGTAATTTGAGTAAAACCTTTTGGAAGGAAATTTAGCAACATCACATTTAAAACACATGCCTTGTCTTATGCAGTAACTAGAATTTATCTAGTTGGTGCAACAGTAAGAAAACAGAAATCGAGGGAATCCCCTGGCATCCCAGTGGTTAGGGCACTGCTCTTTCACTGCCGAGGGCCCAGGTTTGATCACTGGTTGGGGAACTAAGATCCTGTGAGCCGCATGGCGCAGCCAAGGGAAAAAAAAAAACAGAAATCTCCATCAATAAGGGATTGGTTAAATAAACAATGACACTTTCAAACAATGGACTACATACAGTTGAAAAAATAGCAGATGTCTACACTATATTAAATGGAAAAAGCATATGTCAAAACAATATAAACAGTATAACTTAATTTTTGTACAAAGATATCTATAATTTCTCTATGTGCTATGTATACACATAAAACTAGCAGGAAAGTAATTCACCCAATTGCTAACAGTCGTTCTCTTAGAAGAGGAGATTACACGTGACTTCACTTTCTATATCGTCTATAGCTTTTATAACAAGGATCACCGCTTGTACATTAAGAGGAAAAATCAGATGCTTTTAGTCAAATTCTACAAAGGACTGAAATTAGAAAAGATAAAAGTGGATATAAAATTAAGCGGTATTAAGAAGAAGTTAGTAATTGGTATTAAGAAGAACTTAGTAATTTTTTAAATCAAATTAAAAGCTAGCACTGATAAAAAGAAAAATATATTTTTACCTGATATTTTTCAACTGAGATTCCACTTCGTCAGCATACATCGTCATTTTCATGCTCTTCTTTGGCGAAGGAGTGGAAATCATTTTCAGTTCGAGATCATAGTCCATTTCATCCGAGTCTGAGCCGCTGGCACTGGACCGCCTAGACGTGCTCCGCTCCCGGGTCTGCTTGAGGGCTGGGAGCTCCTCGTGGTACTCCACCACCACCCTGTCATCAGCATCCATGTCCTGGTCCTCCTCTTCCTCCTCCTCCTCTTCCTCCTCCTCGATGGGTTCCTCAGGAACATTCACTAGTCCTAAGGAATTTAACCAAAAAACATTAGGAAAAGCCCTAAAACTAACAAATCCAATTTTCTATTCTATGTCAGTGACCTTTTTAAAAGATGGGATTCCCATCCTTAGAGTTTACTGGGGCATTATCTATAATAGTGCTAACCTGGTTACCATTCTGATCCCTACAACAAAGAATGTCTAGGTAAAGTATGAACGAACAGCCTGATGCCATATTACAAAGTTATCTAAAATACAGACCCTCATCATATTCACAGATTCTGTATTTGAGAATTTGCCAATTTTATTTGTAACTCCAGAATCAAAACCCATGGCACTTTCGTGGTCACTTGCAGACATGCACAGGAGCAGCAAAAAATTTGAGGCACCAGCCATCCATGTTCCCAGCTGCGGGCAAACAAAGCCACATCTTTTTTGTTTCATCTCTCACACTGTAAACAAGTGTCCTTTTTGCAGTCCAGTGAGTGCTCATTTTTAACACTTTTGTGGCTTTTATTGGTGAGTTCCCTGTTTAAAATAGCCTCTGAGCATAGTTCCAAAGCTGTCTAGTGTACCTAAACACAAGAAGGCTGTGATGTGCCGTATGGAGAAAATACGTGTGTTAGATAAGCTTTGTTCGGGCATGAGTTACACTGCTGGCTGGCCTCGAGTCCAATGTTAATGAATCAACAGTATGTAGTAAATGAGGTGCGCTTAAGCAGAAACACACATCAAACAAAGTTATATATTGATCAGTTGACAAAAATGGTGTGATCAGAGCTTCCCTGGTGGCGCAGTGGTTGAGAGTCCACCTGCCGATGCAGGGGACATGGGTTTGTGCCCTGGTCCGGGAAGATCCCACATGCCGCGGAGCGGCTGGGCCCGTGAGCCATGGCCGCTGAGCCTGCGTGTCCGGAGCCTGTGCTCAGCAACAGGAGAGGCCACAACAGTGAGAGGCCCGTGTACCGCAAAAAAAAAAAAAAAAAAAAAAGGTGTGATTAGAGTCTCTGAATGGTTTTCAATGATCACGGTGACTTTATAGAACATAACCGCCATGAATAATGAAATGTACCTTTAAAAGTCATGGAAAAATGCTTGTAAGTGGAATGCTTGAAGCAGAATATAAAATATATGTCCACAACAGTTATTATAGTATTTATTGTGAAAAGAGACAAAGGAAAAATGTAAAATGAAGTCACTTGTTAATCTTGGAGTGCTAGAATTAGAGGCAATGTGTTTTTTAATTTCTTTAATATGAATATAAAGATTATATAATGAAAATATCTTAAAGTAACTGAAATTGGAAAAGCCTAACTGTGTACCAGAAAAGTATGTGCATTAAGATGCAGATTTCAAATATACAAGTTTGGATATTCACGTTAAATTAAAATATAGAGATTTCATCTCTCCCTGTCCCTATTACAATGATAAATGTGTATGCGTGTTACTCTGTGTTTGTATGCTGACTTGGCTGGTTCTACAAAGCATATAGAAGATTTTCACAGACCAGATTCAAAATAAACAACAAATCTTTATAAAACATAATGAAAATGGTTCTTTCACAATAAGCACCAAAAGGAAGGAAGGGAGGAAGGGAGGAAGGGAGGAAGGGAGGAAGGGAGGAAGGGAGGAAGGGAGGTAGGGAGGGTGGGGGAGGGAGGGGGAGAGAGAGGAAGAGAAAAAGAAAAAAAAGAAAAGAAAAAAGAAGGAAGAAACAAAATGAAACCCAAGTCATGATATCCCACTTTACTGAGGCGTTCACATGCACAAGCCAATAAGCACAGAACGCTAAACATAGCAGCTTATTTTCATCAGACAAAGGAACGATCAAATCAACCCCTCCAACAAAATAATTAAAAAAATTTTTTTCATGAAGTTTTTGACATTAATAGGAAAATTAGATTCCTAAGAAGTTTTAATTTTTCCTCCATCTTGCCTTTATTGTTAGAAGAGCTTTTATAAAATCATTTGACCTCTTTGTATGGGGCAATTTCAAATTAATTGTGACTTGACTTACTTTCCTTTATGTTGGCAGAGGGTGAGGGCAAGGAAGAGAGGATGATAAAGTTTGGAACCTTAAGAGACTGTATTAAGAATAAAAATATGATTTCAGGAGCCAAACATGTGTCTACCCAAGAGCTGAGCAGGCAACTACCGGAATGTCGGTGTTCATAGGATGTCAAGCCAACGTCGTCCCCAATCAGGGCTCTCTTCTTGATCACATCCCGCTGAATGCGACGGGAATGGTATCTTCGCTTCCTGCAACATTGCCAAAATAAGCACATAATCAAAAACCAACAAGAAGGGCCTTGAAATCCACTAGTTAATTTCAACTACACCCTGACACAATGTTAGGTGCTGAAACAGAGATATTTCACATGAAACTGAAAGTCAGCATTCTCACACCATTTACCACAGTTAAAAATCTTGAATTCTTTCTTCTTGTTTTCCTTCACGTCCACATATGGTGTTGACATTCCACTGCAGAATACCAACTGAAGGATTATGAAAAGCTTACGTACTATTTAAACTACTGTATTTTAAGGTTTTGGACTCACCAAGAATTACTAAGAATTCCTTTCATGCCTCCGTAATTTGGATTCCCATATTTCATGTAATACTGACTTCTTCTCGCTGCTCCAAGTTCCTTTTTGTCATCTAAAAATTAATTACAACAGTTACCAAGGATTTCCTGTGAGTGTGAAGACAATGTTGAATGGGTTTAAAAAAAAAAAAAGAATGTTTTTTATGGCTGGGATCAGATCAGCACAATCTGCCAACAAAAGGGGAGGATGCACTATAAACACTCACTCTCTGAGTGCCTCCTAACGCAGTGCCTTGTGGAGGGGGTGGAGCAAAATTCAGAGATGAGGGAGGTTAAGCTGCTGTTAGGGAGCTGACTTCATAAAGAAAATACTATTAACAACAATACAATATACTAGGTTCCAAGAAGCATACAGGAGCATCAGTTATCACCAGCATTCAGGAATCAAAAAGGCTTCTAGAAGAGGTGGCATTTTCACTGCCCCCTAAAAGATGATATTCATTTCTGAATGACAACACTCCAATAACACAGAATCAGGGTCAAAGAAACAGATTATACATAGGTCCATATATTTGGCAAACCATTTATTTTCCAGTTTACCGTGATGTTCCTCAAAATGGCTTAAGGAAAACAGCACAGCACCATATATCCAGAATGCAAACAAATGGTCCCTCGAATAAGTAAATGAAGAAAAGACCCCATTTATCAAGTTAAAATGCCAGTTAACAGGAAGAAAAGGTGGTCAGTGAGCACACATATTTTCATAATATAAAGGTCTCTTGACAGCTCCCTGGGCACTCACTGAACGCAACGGATGAACACCAATGAGAGTGTACCCAGTGCTAGAGATAAATTTGGTGTCACAAACCAGAATGTGCACCCTACAAAAAACATGCCCACCAGCTCCTTGGAGAAATGGCTGATTCCAGATCTGGGGCAGGGAAAGTACAAGTTGAGTCTGGCAAAACCAGATGTTTTATTGTGCCATAAAGAAAGAACTCAAGGAATAATGAAGGCGTGTCAAAAGAACACAGTTTGAAGAGGCTCTACTGGCCAAATCCAAAATAATTTGTGAATCAAAATAATGATAGAATGGATGATAACTCATTGAATAAAACTCCATGAATCTAAACTGATATAAGTAAAAAAGATAAGTAAATACATAAACAAATGGGTAAAAAGGGAAAGCTCTTCCTTACGGCAGACTGCCAACTAATAAATGAGAGAGCTAAAAAGTCATCAATGGATCTAAAGCTATTGCATGAAGTTGGATGAGGAACAGGCTATTTACATAACCTCAAAGCATCTCCCCACAAACCTTTAAATTATAAATGGAAAAAGAGTAACTTTATAGTGGAGAAACCTGGCGATCATTACCTTAACCAAGTGATAAAAGCTAACATCCTCAGGAAGGGGATAAATAAATACAATGTGCCTCCTGATATGATGCACTGAAAATGACACGATGTCACTTCTGTGGTATAAACGCACAACCCGAATTTAATTAGGAGACATCAGACAAACTAAGGGGCAGCCTATAAAACAAGGAGCCTATCCTCTTTAAAAATGTCCCAGTCAAGGAAAACAAAGGAGTAGTTCCATATTCAGGGAGACTAAGGCGACATGGCAGACTTAAACACCCAGTCCTAGACTGGATCCTAGTTCAGTGGGGGACATTAGTATAAAGTGGGGGACTAGTATAAAGAATAATCCAAATGTATTTAATAATCATCATTGTCAGCAGCAGCAGCAGCATGAACTGTTAACACTTACACAGCACTCACTGTGTGCCAGGCAGTTTTTTTTTTCCCCCCAGGTAGTTTTAATATACAGAGTGGGGAGCTGGTACAATTGGAATGCGGACTCCGAATTAGGTAACAGTATTGTATTAATACTAAGTTCCCTGATTTTGATAACTGTGTGTAAAACAAAGTCCTTGTTCTTCAGAAATACTTACTGAAGTATTCAGGGGTGAAGAGTTGTCATTTCCAATTAACTCTCAACTGACTCAACCCCCCCCCCACCACCACACACACATTATTAATGTGTACCAAAATCATTATGTGTAAAAAGCCTTATGAATTGTTAAGAGGCTTTTAATTTAATTCTTTAGAGAATTAGAGTTGAATGGCACTACTAGCAATGTCCAGGAAGATATTGCTGTGATACCTAAAATACAATTTTAAAGTTTTCATAGTTCAGATGACAAACTGGCTGAAAAGCACATGGGACAAACCAGCTTTGACAGAAAATAACTTACTTTAGCTAGAAACCACAAAAGTATACAAATAACTAATATTCACTTTCAATGTGTGAAATTCCAACTCAGGCAGCAAGTCATTGATTTTATAAGCACAGAATATTATAGTTTGAAGGATCTTTGAGATTACTTGACCTAAGTTCTGATTCAAGAGAGGTGTCACTCAATAAAAAAATCACTTTGATTAAAAATAAAAATAAATAAAAATAAAAATCAATACCAATTATCATTTACCTTTCGTAGCAAATCTCATGAATAACCTATTTCCTTTAGCAAGTTTGTTCGCTGGACGAAGATCATTTCTTAGCAGAGATTCTTCTTCTACCTGAGACAATGTGTCCAACTTAAGGAAAAAGAGCATTTTCAACATGAAAATTAAAGCCTTTTTCATATTCATTCAGCAGCAAAGTTACCATTGATTAAGAAAGCAATCTACCTTTACTAATACCCATCAGCATTACAGCACCAGCTCCTCTGCAGGATGTCTAAGTCAGAGGTCTTCCCTGACCACCTTGTCTAAAAGAATCGTCTCCATCATTCTCTATCTGCTTTTACCCTTCTTTACTTTTCTTCACAGCACTCATCACTTCCTGACATTATATTACATATCTGTGTATCAGTGTATTGTCTGTCTTCCCCACTAGCATGTAGGCTCCGACAGGGCAAGGACTTTGTTTTGCTTGACGCTATATCCCCAGCACCTAGAATTTGGTATATGGTAGGCATTTAATAAATAATTTTAAAATGAATACACTTTAATATTTCCAACAATAATACATATGCCATTAGGAAATATGCCATTACTTGCTATTCCTTAATTTTACTGATTTGATAGCATTTCAAAGGATTTCTCAATAAAACCATTTCCTTTCATATAGAAGTGTGAGTACTAAGATCTCAAGATGAATCATTCATTATAGCCACACGAACTTAAAGGCCAAGAGCCTGGTGCCCCCTCGGGAGGTATAATGGTGAAAGCCAGAGGAAGAACACAACGTACTGTATTAAGTCTTTAAGGCTTAAATACCAAGACAGTAAGCAGTTGTTTACAGTGAAGCCTTACAGACACCTCTGCCCTCCCACTGACCTCTGCATCACTTGCGTTCTCATCTTCAACTTCTCCTTCTTCAGCCTCGTCATCGGAACTGTCTTCCTGCTTGTCTAAAATGGAACGTGAGGGACAAGATGAATCTTAACTCCATCTCGTACATGCTAAGTCTAATATTTTCTCCTCCTCTTTACTAATGATCCAAAGCAACACAGCTTATTTCAGAAATAACTGGCGATGAGATGCTATGTAACACTGCACAGAAACTCAAGTTGTAAAGGACAGGACTTTTAGCCCCAAAGTCCCTCCTTTGTGGTCAGTTACCTTTTTTACTTTTCTCAGATGACTTGTCCTCATTGGCATCCCTACTTCTTATCTTATCCAGGGCTGGCAGGGAACTCATATTGATAAGGGCTCGTGTGGCTGTCATTTCATCCAACCAAACAACATTACCTAAAATAAGATAACACGTTACATCACATCCAAATGGTTAAGTTTCTTGAGAACAGAGACTACATCATATTCACTGCTAAAGTCTCATTCAGCTGTGGATGGGCATCAGTAAATGTACACACCAACTAATGAAAGGAACTATAGAACCTGGTAGTAAAACTTCTTTGATAAAATCAACCTAGAGCTGCATTCCCAAACTGGGTCCCACAGAATAATGGTCAAGTACTCCATGAAAAAGGGTTCTGTATATTAAAACTGCCCGGCGTACAGTGGGTGTTACACATAAGTGTTAGCAGTTCTTGATGATGATGACGGTGAAAATTCTCAAATAAATTTAGATTATCCTTTATTCTACTGCCCCCTACATGGAAGCCCTCTGCTGCTCCTTGTTACCCAGACATGCTAAATGATGTTTCCCTACTGTGAAGTGTGGGTGATGATGGCATCCATGGGATATATAGAATGGAGGCGTGACAGCCACCTGGCTTTGCAGCAATCAATTTAATTTGCTTCTTTAAGAGAATTTAGCAAGAAAAGGTTTTTGAGAAGTTTAACTCTAAAGCAGCATTTCTCAAACTTATGTTACTCCTGCATCTCAGTTTGGGAAATGAATGTCTAAAGATTCTCATCTTTGTTAATACTATGCCACAAGGTCTTGAGCAAATAACCTCCCGCTTCTGTTTCTCAGTTTCTGATGTACAATACGAGATAGGTGAACTGGATGATTCTAAGGGTTCCTCTGACTCTAACATCCCTTAGCTACAGTTTTAATTAGATAAATCAGGCGTTAGCAAATCCAGCCCACCACCTGCTATCATTGATTCATTCATCCATCCATCCATCCATCACCCATCCATTTATCTATTTATACTTGTACCGGCTTTATTTAGCTATAACAGGTGTGTATGATAAACTACACACCTGCCACCTGCCACTTCGTAAACAAAGTTCTACAGAGAACAGCCAGGCTCATTCAGTTATATTGTCTATGGCTGCTTTCACGCTACAACGGCAAAGCTGGGTAGATTCGCCAGAGACTGTATGGCCTGCAAAGCCTACAATATTTATCATCCAGCCCCTTATAAAAAAAAAGGCTTGCCATCCCCTGATTTGGATGGTCTAAGTTAAGAAAAAAGAAAAAAGGAGAAAAACTTTTACTCAGTCATGCTTCTTCTTCTTTCAATGAATTAACATCTAAGAAAGCAGCCGGGAAAAGCAGGTCAGCACACTGGCAGAAAGCAAAGCCAGACTAGAAGTGAGTCAAGACAAGAAGCCAGCAGAGTGGGTACCAAGGGTCAGGCCAGACTTGGAGAGGGGACGCAAGTTAAAAATTACAGTTAGCTCACAAGTGGAACAGCCCCCAGATTAGGGCCAGCAGATGAAGCTCCAGAAAACACAGTCCAAAGCAAGCAGAGATGAGAGGTCTGGCACTGTGTCAGAGGGTTCTGGTCTAGTTCTAGGCCAGAGATAGCCCTCTGAAAAGCTGTATGGCAAGTTGCAATGACAAAGTCTAAAGCCCTGAAAATGCAGCCCCAAGTCTACGCAGTTGGACCCACCCCTTTGTTGGGAAACTGTGGGTGTTAAGAGAGGCCTCAGTCATGTACCCTGGACTCCGCTGCCAACAGCCATCCTCCTAGAGGCCGGATCACCACCTCTGAGCTGACTTAGAATATGCATGGAGTATGATCTGGCAGACTGGTTAATGCACGCTGGTTCTCAGCAGTGAGCAATTTTTTCTCTCCTAGGCTAAAGGCAGAGGTTAGACATAGTCTGGCCAAAATCATTCACCATTTGAGATGGGAAAAATTCTTTTAAAATCATAAACAAAAGCATATTCAAGTAACCTGGGTTACTTACAGGAAGTATCATCCAACCACTCAATGTGGGCCGGAGGATATTCTTTAAAATAGGAAAAGACATCCTGGGTACTCATCTCATCTACGCCGCAAATGTAGATTGTCTCCAGTCTCACTTTGGGGATTGCTAGAAAAACAAGACACCTGCTGTTGCACAATCCACCAGTAGCCCATTGTAACAGTTCAGATAATAGGTATTTTAAAAAGAAATATGCTGAAAGAGATAATAATTATTTCAAAAGAAAATGAGACCTGACAGTAAGGTAAACTATTTTAATTTTTATCACACAGCACTAGCATTAAACAAATGACTATTCAGAATGGGCTTATTAGGCTGAGGAAGATTAAACAAATGATGTTGATAATATACATGATACCTCGTCTCAAAATGACCTGTAATAATAAAAGTAATACCGAATTCAACAGGGTTATTCATTGAACTTGATACACTGATTCTAAAATTTTTTAAAGATATGTCAATGAGAAATGTGCGATAGTCAAGACAGTTCTGAAAAGAAGAAGAGACACTGCCCCTGGATGTAAAGCAAAGTATGAAAGTAGAGCAAAGAAATCCTACAAATCAACAGAAAATGACAGCCCCAAATAAAAATGGGCAAAGGACATGAGCAGGCAATTCACACAAAAAGAAACAGAAAAGGCCAATAAACATGAAGAGATGGTTGACCTCACTACTATCAGGATAACCCACCTTAAAACAAGATATCAGTTTTCTTTGACCAGGTTTTGTTTGTTTGTTTGTTTGTTTAATTTATTTATTTTTGGCTGCATTGGGTCTTCGTTGCTGCGCACGGGCTTCCTCTAGTTGCGGCGAGCAGGGGCTACTCTTCATTGTGGTGGCTTCTCTTGTTGAGGAGCACAGGCTCTAGGCACGCGGGCTTCAGTAGTTGTGGCTCGCGGGCTCCAGAACACAGACTCAGTAGTTGTGGCACACGGGCTTAGTTGCTCGCAGCATGTGGGATCTTCCCGGACCAGGGCTTGAACCCGTGTCCCCTACATTGGCAGGCGGATTCTTAACCAGTGTGCCATCAGGGAAGCCCACTGACTATGTTTTTAATTCGTCTTTTAGTATCAATTGGTGGCAGTGTGGAGAAAAGAGCCCCTCCCTCTGCTGGTGGGAGTGTGAACTGGCACAGCCACTCTGAAGGGCAACTAGGAGTGCCCTACAAATGTAATTTAAGCACATGCCCTATACGCATAGGAATTCTCTTCAGTATCTATCCTAAACACACATGGGTTCACAGAGTGGTTCACACAAAGACGTTTGTTGCAGCACTATTTTAATAACCCAGTAGCTATCAGAGTAATAAATTATGGTTTATCCATATTAAATGAATCATGGTTTATCCATATTATAGAATATTAAGCAGTTAAAAACAATGAGATAATTTATTATATACCATGGAAAGATTCTAAGACACATTACTGAGTGGAAAAAAGCTGCAGAAAAATACATACATTAAAAAAATTAAAACATAAATATCACCATATATTTTCTAAGGGTATATATATTTGTGTACACAAATACATAGAAGAAAGTCTGGAATAATTCATTCCACACTGATAAGAGCTGTTACCTCTGGGAAGGAAGAAACGTTGAAGGCTGTGGTCTAAAGGAACCTCAGCCTTACCAGAATTGTGTTAATTTTTTACTAAATACTTTAAGCACATTATCTCATTTAATCTTTTTAATTGTGAAATATGCAAATACATCAACAAAGAAAAAATATTTTTTAAATACCTGTATATCCACCACCTAGCTTTATGCTTAAATTCTTTAAAAGATTTGTGGCAAACAGGGCTTCCCTGGTGGTGCAGTGGTTGAGAGTCCGCCTGCCGATGC